CAGAGAATCACGGATCACTTCTTCATAGCCTTTTTCAACATGCAACTAGGATCATGGAACCCCTTCTCAGGACAGATTGTTGCTGACTAGTTTTTTTTTTGCAAGGTTTACTGACCCACCCCCTTCAACATGCACTTTGACTTTCGCCCGCTCCTTCGCAGAACTTTCGCGGAAATTTCGCGAACAAATCCCTAGTCACAGACCCCGGCCATCAGCAGGGGGCGCATCGAAGGAAAAGCGAACACCAGGAGCCTTGGTGTTTGGCTCTCGCAAAGCCTCACTCTTGGACGAAACTTGGCTGCTGCATTTGGAGCTTGTTTCTTGAGACTTCAAAAATCATCATTAGGCAGTGACAGCGGCAGGTGCAAGGATGTGCTTCAGGACCATGGTGTTTGGCTGTCCCAAAGCCTCACCTTTGGAAGCTCGGCTGCTACTTATGATCGATTGTCCAAAAGCATCACCACACAAATCCACACAAGAAATTAAACCAGAACCAAACCGAAATTCTCCGGTGCCCTTCTCCTGCCGGACCCCAGGCGGCAGTGGGTGGCAGCCCTTTACGTAACGACATAATGATTATAATACCCAACTTTCGCGAAACTCTCGCGAAAAAAATGTTACTTTCGCGAACTCGAAAAAAACTTTCGCGAGGGCTCCCAATAACATGAACGGTCTTCGCAATTAAAACTCTTTACGAGGACCTTTAGATCGATCGCCGTAAAAAAAACATATATTGTAGATCGATATATCCGTCAAAGCGAAAACCGAATTTATGCAGAGGCAACGCTACCTCACTTTAACACATATGGGGCCCATAAGATTCCATAAGAATGTTTGCGAGCCCAGCCTCTTTGTTGACAATGAGATCTTTGATGCTGCACTTCTTTTTGCCGAACAAGTGACCACTTTGGTCAATGAGCACCGTCATGCCAACCTGGGAGCGCAAGGGTTGGCAGGTCAATGCGCTAAGTTTGGTGGGTTACCGGTTGCCACACACCAACCCTCCAAAAAAAAGGATTCCGTTGAAACGAATTGTCAGGAACCGATTTCATGCGCGGTTCGTCATGAAAAGCTTGGATGAACATTCGCACATCCGTGGGCTCAGTTCCTTCATCATCGCTTCCATCAGACATCGTGAAAATCGACTGCTGGTGGCTGAATGCAGCCGAACTGAAGCCCTTAAATGCCTGCATTAAGACATTTAAAGATGCTTTGATGAAGCTTTAAATTACACATATGTGCACCATCGACCCAGACCCACACTGCCACGGATCCGCTCAGGCGGGTGGGAGGCACCTCTGATGTGTGGGAATTGAGCCTGGCAAGCGAGGAATTTCAACCGTGTCCCAAGGTAATGTATAGGGATATCTTCAACCAAAGAAAACATCTACCAGCACAGTATGGTACGTCCCATTCAGGAAAATGGCTTGGGGACATATAGGTGTGACACCATGTGGTGATTCTTTGCGGATGACAGACATCCTTGTAACACCTTTTCATCGAACAGGCCCAAGGCACCATACTGCAAATGATAGTAGAAGCCAGGACCAGTTCGACCGCCTGCAGTTTCACGCGACGTGACCAAGCACCGATGTCAGGGGCCAGATGACAGGCACATACATCATTTTATATCCATACCCACCTGTGAACAGATATGAAAAACAACACATCTGATTCCATTTTTCCTTTCATCAAATTCCATGGGTCACTGGTCCCGATCAGTTTTGCCTTCAGCATGGATCATCAAAGGGTCATGGCATGCATGGAGGAACCGCACGGTGAAAATCAAAGAGCAAACTGGATTGGTACCCGATTTTGGCCATTTCTTGGCACACTGGGTTCTGGGGAAAAAGTGAAATCCATGGTTCTTACTGATGGTTTCAGCTGCATGCTTCATTGTGCCCAGAACGCTGCGGGCGGCATGCGCGAATTTCAGCGCGTGCAGGAAAAACATTCCGCCACATGCGTGGTTTTTTAGGACCTTTTCGTAAAGGTTGCAGAACAAAAATCATGGGTTGACCGACCCATGATAGCTGATTTGTCAGCCGGAGTCAGAAAATTGTTGCAGCAAAAGATGAACTAAACACAAATAAATAAATATGTGTATATATACATATCAACTTTTATTTATTTATGTATGTGTATGTGTATATGTATTTGTATATTTATGCACATATATGTAGAGAGATAGATGCATAGATAAGTAGGCAAATATAAACACCTACGTCTATGTCTTATAGACACCTACCTCAATATCTACCTATCTGTTGTCTATCTAAATCTTCGCCCTTATATTCCTATCCCTTTCTTTATCTATCTTTACGCTATTCTCTTTTTTCCCGAAAGAGACGGAGTAATAGTCTGGGAGCGTGTGAATTTGCGGGTGAAACCATGGAGGCAGTTAGGATCTGTGTTTCCGCGGTTTCGGGCCTCGATCTGGAGAAGCTGTGGGCAAAATGCGTACAGGGACTTGTTGAATCAGAGCACTGGATCATATTGGGCCACTGACGCTACCTATTGTACAGGGTAAGTTGGCCCAGCGAAGAACAATGTTGATTTTTTTCATTTTCACACGATTTCCAAGGCAGGTGTCAATTTTCACGTGTTTCATGATTTTCACGCTTCCGGGTGTGAATTTCGTGTTTTCGCATTCACTGTGCGGCTTTTCATGATTTTCACACTACAAGATGTGATTTTCACGTTTTTCACGTTTTTCACGATTTTCACGGTCCAAGATGTGAATGTTCACGCTTTTTTGTGATTTTCGTGCTTCCCAGTGCGAATTTTCACGCATTCACTATCGCTGATGTGGATTTTGGTGATTTTCACGCTTGCAGATGTGAATTTTCATGTTTTTTCGCATTTTCACGCTCCAAGGTGAGAAATTACACGTTTTTCGTGATTTTCACGTCCTTGGTGTGGAATTTCGTGTTTTCACGTTTTCACGGGGCCAAATCCATTTTCGAGGCCAAATCCCTTTTTTAAGGCCAAATGACTCAAACGGCCTCCGGCCTTGTTTTTCGAATCCAAATGGCTCCCCAGGGAGTGAGCGATTCCGCGTGGGCCAGCGGATGAACCTGGGCGGACACAGCGGAGCAACATATGGGACAACAGTGCAGGAGTGGAAGCGAACAACAAGTTGGAATGCAATGCTACAATGATGCTTGGTCTCAAAGCGCTGCAACCATGTTACTGCACAGATACGCCCGCACGGCAAAGTCGCCACCAACAGTCCGCCGTATTTGCGGCGAGGGAGAGTTGCAGCCTTGTCAATGCCGCACGGGTTCACATCGTCCGGCTGGGGATTCATAATTGGCTCCACAGCGTCAAAGTACGGCGCATCTTCTGGGGGGGGGCCGTTGTCGTTGGGGTCCTCCAGCGGTTGGCCTCTGCGACGTTTTCTTCGCGCCTTTTTCTCAGCAAGCAGCCCCTCATATTCCTGAATTGCACGGATAGAGAGCTCAGAAGAAGAGAACCAGTGAGGAGAGGCATCGACCTTGTAGCGGCGAACCCCGTTGTCATCGCGGTGGCGCAGAATGCGGCGGGCGTCAGCAGGTGCCGGAGCGGAAGAGGACGAAGGGTGGTGGTCACAGCAGTAGAGGCCCGACTGCAGCGGCGGCCTCTGGCAGCCAAACATCACGGAACATTCCACCTGCGGAAATTCAACCACCCCCCCCTCTCGGTGGTTGCATAAAGCACAGGTCAGCCCGTACTTCGCATCCAGGGTGACCACAGGAACCTCGCAAAGCTCGCACTTGTGCTCCACATAGTGCTGTGCATGGACGGCTTGGCGAAGGTGAGGGAGAATGTGCACCAGAACGGCTTGGAACTCGGCAGACTCCTGGCAATGGGGCATGAAACAGCAGCATCCGACAGCCAAACACAGCACTGCATGAAGACCACTATCGCAGCCAAGAAGCATGCTTAGTATCAAGCGGCCACCACGTTGTCTGCACAACACTGGGTGACTGTGCCCAGAGCACGGTCAAAACCTCCAGCAGCAGCCAATGGTGCTCGAACCTGTAGCACAGTCATTCTCTCGATCAGCGGCAGTGCCATGCAGATCAGCCAGCATCTGGATGAAGCTGCTGAAGGCAGCTTTGCTGCGTAGCACTGCCGCACGAAGCAACCAAAGGACTCGCGTTTCAATGAACGCCTTGCTGTTCTTCCGGGGGCAGGCGACGATTTGGAAGAAAGCGACATCCTCTGGAGCCGCAACAGCGCAGCAGCGTGATCTCGCATCAGGCCGTGTTTTCCAAACATTGGAAAAGATTAGGTTGCAGGTGGGACATCGGGCCGGGCGCCACTTCACAGAGGTCCACCCCCGGTCCAGGAGAAAAGCCTTTGCTTCACCGTGCTTCCCTGGAACCAGTGCGACCTCGCAGTTGTCGCATCTGCTCACCGCAGCCTCAATGAAAGGAAGTTCGCCAACAAGAGTGTGCGATGCAGGCCGGGCTCCGCCGAGAAAGTCCGGGCACTCACGCTCCAAGTTGGTATACACCGTGGCGATGTCATTGAGTGCCACCTCCAGCCCAAACGACGCACGCAGCAAGGATTGAGCTTCCTCGCATCGCACGGGCGGAGGTGACAGCAGGTAGCACCGCGTCAGCAGACCAAGGTGCGCCGGCCGAAGGGGCGACAGCAGCGCATCCAGGCTCGGCAGGTCAGACGCCATGGCACAGCACAGCTGGGTCGACAACGGATGGAAGCGACCAGCAATTGAAATGAAATGGCTGCGGCACACAGCTTGCAAACGAAAACTGCATCAACATCTACGTTCCTGTCGAATAGCGGGACCAGAGGTGTACATGACGGTCAGCAATGACTTGACGAGCATGTGCAGCAAGTCTCTCTTTTCTGGTGCACGAAGCGAAAAGGATGACTGTGAAGAAGACCGTCATACAGGGTCGACATTGTGTCTGACCACGTATGACTCGCACAGCGTGGCGAGGCTGCACGAGTTTCAAAAAGACCCTACGATTGGAAGCGCGCACTGTACATCACGGTAAGAAGAAGGTAGCGACGTCAGCATCTGGCTCCAGGGCGACAAAACACCCGGAAACACCGAGGACACCAAATGTGATGACAAAGGCCGGTGGCCGATCCACCTCCGGGGCACGATGATAAAAGTGTATGGCGTGGGTGCCCAGACGCAAGAGCGCCAGAATACGACGCACCGTGAAGGACCCGCGATTGAGCCGCAGCCAGGCGACACGAGGGTCGGCAGGGAGCCCAGCAAGGAGCAAGTCGTAGTTGAGGTCGTGGCCGTCTTCCGGCGGGGGGGGACGGAAGCCCAAAGCCTCAAAGAGGACCGCAAAAGCGCTTCGGCTGCTGCGAGGGCTCGCCAGCTGCAAGCAACCTGGTGCTGCCTCGCCGAAGCACGGATAGGCCAGGCGCACACCAGGAGCGCGCACGGGGCGAAAGCACAAGCGAACGACCATGAACACTGCTCGGCAAAGCCGTAAATAGGCTGCAGGCAGGCACGCAGTTGCATTTGCCGCTCGCACCAATGCCCGGATTTGCCACGGGAGGGCAAACGTGCGCGCAGCTGCAACATACGCTGCACGCACAGCTTCCACGTCCTGTGGGGTGACACTCGCCGGGGTAGTAAGGATCAATGCAGGGGCGCCCGCAACGCCCAGCAGCGAAAGAAGAAAGGAGACGCACTCACGGGGCAGGCCAAGCATGGCGCGCAGCGACGGTACGCCAGAATGCAGATACGCGGTTCTGCGCTTGAGGCACTGAGTGGAGATGCATGAATGCAACCTCGCTGACAGTGCACGGTCAACAGGGAAAGCATGCACGATCTACGTGAAGAGTAAATGCTATATGTACTACTCTCTGTACACGACACGAAAGCAATGGACCCTGACTGGAAAGCCTGGTATGGTTAGAGCAGGAAGGGCGGCTCAAGACGCGCTCACTTTTCTTGTGTCGAGGGCAACTAGATTGATTTTCGAAGCTCTCTATATACTGCGTGCTGAGGCAACAATGACTTAGAGCAGCATGGTTGAGCGTACCAAAGTGCGAGAGAACATCCAGACAAGCCGTTTCCATGACAATCAGACTCAACATTGTGAAGAGTCGAGCCGCTAGCCTCAAGCACACGGGCTGCTGGTCAAAACCTGTGCATAATCACCAAGTAGTACGCAAGAGAATCCCACGTCGGTGGGTCGTAGAAAGTTTGCAGCTGGAGCCATGCTTGCCACACGCGCGCAGTGGCCGGGGAGCACTGCATGTTGATGACCGCCGCAACAAAGCTGCGCACCTGACGACGAATTTCCGGCGGACGGAAACAAAGGCAGCAGACAACATCACGAACGCCCAGGGGCAGCGATGCCGCCCGAGGATCTGTGCGAAGCAGCCGCTGCAAGCGCGTCAAGGCTCCGCGCGAAACATCTCGCCGAAACAAGCCGCGCAAGTAGACATCCAAGATCAGGTAGAATGGTAGTTGCCCCGGAGGTCGTGGTCGCGGCAAGGTCGCAGCATCCTCATCGGAATCCACGACGTCTGCCCAGCGTGGTCTGACGATCATGACGGCAAAGGCTTGGATGCTACAGGAGATGCATTTATTGAGCCCAGCTGGCAACAAACCACCAATGCTTCCATGTGATGGCGCTATATATCATGTCGGCAAAGGACAGCCTCGATCGACACAGGCCACTTGCGCTATCGATTGGGTGAGAATACATGGCGTGCATGCAAGAAGCGACAAGGACACCTCGAATGCACACAAGTGAAGTCGAGTTTTTTTGGCGCAGCTGCTTGTCACCGCAGCGCGGCAGTCCCTGTCCAATCGCCCTTGTGACTGATCGGATCAAGACCGGCACATTATCATAGCAGAGCACGCGCATAGTGGCTACGGCAACCAGTCGACATTGTGTCCGACCCGGCCATACCAAGGAATATTCACATGCACGCAGCACTGTACAGGTCGGCGATGCAATGCGGCAGCCCAGAAGAGCAACACTAGACAGGCGCACTGTTACGCCAGACTGTTCCCCCGATGCGAGGCCAACCCGCTGCGTTCTCAACCTCCCAACACACCAACAGCATGCCAAGGTTGAAGTGTTGTATGTACAGTAGCAGGAATGACCCAGATTCACCTGGGGCAGGGAGCCGTGGACATGCTGCCCGGACAGGGGCTGGGACGTCAGTATGCGCAATGTGAGGGTACCACACCGTCTGGACCAAAGATCGGTGGAGCCAGAGGACAGCTTCATCGTACTCCTCGGAGCCTCCCAAGTCATGATTCCACAGAGGCAACCAAGCCAGTGCGTCGTCATTCGCCTGTGCTGTGCGGGACAAGGAAAAGGAATGAAATCTGAAAAGCAAGCAGAACAAACACAGACAAAAAGCGGGCAACCTGACATTGCAGTGGCGCAGCCACAACACGGTGCAACAGTGTGCAGCGCACAAAACCGTCCTGGGCCAGAAAGCGTTGGAAGGCGCCAGCAGCAGGACCCAGCGCGGGGAGGCCAAGGTAAGACGCCGCAAGCCGACAGACACTCGCTTCCACGTCGCCGTCTCGCTGTGCAAAATCACGGTCGCGACCAATGGGATGCCAGGGACACTCAGAAGGCCGCAGCCAAGGATCCCAGAGAAGCGCAGGTTGATGGCGAAAACTCAAGCATGGCGCATTAAAGCCAAGCTCAAGTAATGGCCGCAGCTTTTGCAAACACGCCCGCTTGATGGTCGAAACATACTCACAGAAGCTTTTCGCGGGAACATCTGGAAAGTGAGCAGCAGCAGCAGCAATGCAAGGCGCGGATCCCAGCGGCAAGAACTCCAGAAGCTGGAGGAGGAGGACGGAAAACGGCAGCTCAGTGAAGTCCATGGGCACGAATCAGCGACAAGCAAGGCGGCGAGGGCGACAGAATGGCTGCGAATCACAGACGGCTGCGGCAATACGGAAGCAAAGATATGCAACAATGGGTGAAGCGCAATGAATTCGCAATGTGCAGTGCGTGCCAAGCCTATGCGAGACGCATCCACCAAAAACAACAACCAAGCAAAGCGCATTCGAAACTGTGGGGTCCTTGGCTTAGCCCCGTGCCATGTCAAGTAGACACTGGTGGACCAGTAACTGTAGGATCTGTAGGGTAAGGTTTTGCTTTTGAATCACAGTGTTGGTGTCTCAGTGCTTTCAAAAACTTTGGGATGTCTACAGATGTGTGACGTCAAGAGTACAGGATCTTTTGGAGCTGAGAAGATTGCAGGCGTGCAAACAAGCAAGCACGAGGTCGATGTTGTGTCTGACCAAAGGAAATGCAAACAATCAAGCACTCAGACCATCCACTGTTGTCCTTTGAGCATCGTTTTGTGTTTTAACAACGCCACATGTCTCCTGCAGCAAAACCTTGTGGTTTGTATCCGAAGAAATCCACATCTCAGATGTGGGCTTTGCATTGTGCTGTGGCCAGTCTTGACACGTTTGTGCCCATTATTACATGCACCGCCGGAAGCATATGGCGAAGCATGAGTGTGAACAAAACACATTGACTGCCAAAGCGCAGTCATCCATGTTTCACCCCAGGGCATGTTCCGATGACCTGCCAAGACAGCCCAAGTGTGCCACTGTGGGATGTCCCCGGCGCATCAAAGCACCGCAAAGCATCGCCAAGGACTGCCAAAGTGCAGTCCTTCAAGTGTCACCCTACCAGGGCGCCCAAGTGTGCCACTGTGGGATGTCCCCGGCGCATCAAAGCACCGCAAAGCATCGCCAACTAGGACTGCCAAAGTGCAGTCCTTCAAGTGTCACCCCATCAGGGCGCCCAAGTGTGCCACTGTGGGATGTGCCCGGCGCAGGACACAAAGCACCACCAGAAGCATACGGCGGGGCGTGAGCTACCAGGACACACTGCCAAAGCTTGCCAAAAGTGCAGCTCTCAAATTTTACTCACTGCGCCATGGAACCAAAAAAAAGATAAAAACGGCGTTTCCTGCTTATATGTAGATATGTGTAGATATATAGGGGGGATATATGTGTATATATAATGAAAGGAAACGCCGGTATATAAAATACACACACACCACATATTCTATACACACACATATATATATATATATATAAAAATGAATCAATAAGATATATATATATATATATACACACATATCTACGCAGCAGGTCAGAACTTGCACAGAGCAAGCTCGAACTTGGGTTTGCCAACAGGCACTTGTGATGCATTGATTCGGAACGTGTCATTGCTTAGTCAAGTTTGCGCGCCGGCCCTCCCAGCGGATATTTTCGGATTTTGGCGCCGTGCTTTTGTTTTGGGAGTAGGCCTCTTCCAAGACTTGTATACACATATCTAAATCAATATATGATACTATATGTTTATAGATCTACTTATATATATATATATATAAAGACGGGTAGTGGTCAACCACGAACTCGTGAGGAAAAACGATTGGAAGCCATTTTGGCTGCACTTTTCCCAGGACCACCTCTATATCCCATAGGTTTCCAAGAAAACAATTTTTCTTAGATGTATCATTGTTCCAAACTTTGCTATGATCCACCATGGTTGTGTTTCAGAGATGCCGAACTATTCACCCATCTACTTACTTATTTCGCTGAAGCGTCCCGAAGATCAACCCCAAAGGTTCACCAAGGGGTCATTTAAATTCTGAAATGTCCCAACCGCATCCCTGCTCGTGCTCATCAGAGCTTTTTTTCGACCGCGGCCCCATGACCGCTTCTGGCTGTTTCAAGCGAAGGGGCTCCTGGACGAGTAGGTGCGACCCCCCTTGCCACTTGCAGCGGCATCACTGCATAAAAAAAAAGTGTATATAATCTTTGGGCGCCCGATCTTGGTCCGGGTTTGCGATGGTGTGTTCGCATGGATTTCCTCAAGAAAAAACATATCAAATATGGATTTCATTTTAGGTTCTCGTGATGTTTGATCATTGTGCATACCACTCCCACAGCTATTTAGCAAAGACAAGCCAGCCACCTCGAACCTTGCTACGTACCATGAGTGAACCTCTGGCAGTCGCGATGGGGAGTTGGAAGAGCACGCGTCGCTAGGCTGAAAGGAGTATGACTACATGAACAACATGCTAGTAAATAGTTTTAAAGATTAGAACTGCTTGCTTCTCCATAGGTTGTGCTCATGATCAACTTCACCTTTTTAAGTCACACTTTTTTGCAAATTACAAATTTCACGGAACACGGAAGTTTCACTTTACTGCAAGTTTCCCAGAACACGGAAGTTTCACTTTACTGCACGGAAGTTTCACTTTACTGCAAGTTTCCCAGAACACGGAAGTTTCACTTTACTGCAAGTTTCCCGGAACACGGAAGTTTCACTTTACTGCAAGTTTCCCGGAACACGGAAGTTTCACTTTACTGCAAGTTTCCAGGGGCACGGAAGTTTCACTTTACTGCAAGTTTCCAGGGGCACGGAAGTTTTTCCTTCACAGCCCAAGGACCTGGCAAAGTGGCTTGGTCTTTCCAGGACATCAGAAGGCTGTCAATGGATGTGAGGATGGGGTTGCCTTTGTCAGTTGCTCAGGTTCTAGCATCTCCAGAGTGGAAAGGTGGGGACCTGGTGCAGCTGGAGGATACAGTGACTACTCCAAAGGCTGAAGACCTTGTGCTTAACTTTCCTTGGGTCCTTCCGTTTGTCAAGCAGTTCAGGGACCGAATCCCAAGCCAGTTCTTCATTACAGACTGCTTTGTCTATTTGGACAAAACCTACAATGACAAGTTGCTCATTCCAGTTGAGGAAGGGGCCTCCAAAATTAGCCTAGCGGTCAATGAAGCCAAAAAGGTCAAGTTGCTCATGGGCGCTTTGCGTGCGCTGTGGAGAAGCAGTGCTTTAGTAATTTCAATCAACTTTTAGTGTTTACTGGGGTCATCTGAAAAATGGGGCATGGTCTAACATGTAGGTTATTTCAATTTTTCAAAATGATATCCCACGGGTTTCTCCCCTACCATTTTTGAACCACGTGTCCTAAATTTTTCATGTTGTGTTTCCTGCGCATTTGCAGTTTTGACCAAGGTAAGGAGGCTGGCAGCCATCCCAAAATCACTGAGATGAAAAGCTGGCTGCTCCCTTCCCCAACGCGTTCCAAGGCTTTTTTTGTCGGAGTTTCAGGGGTGTTGTTCAAAAAAACCCTTGTAATTTTGGGGCCACATTGCAAATAGTAATCCTTTCCATCCATTCCCCAACGCCACAAGTATGTGGAACACAATGCATACATAGAACTGCTACAGGGCCCGGGTTTCTGGGTCATCAGTGTCTGTGTGCGGGGCATCATGAAACCCATGAAACCTATGCGAACATGTGCAGGCGCGAAGCAAAGAGGAGGAGCAGGGTGAGGCAGGTGATGAATCTTCCCCCGAACAAGCAAAGGAAGACTCCAGTGATGGTGATCAGGAGGAGGACAGGGAGGAGAAGAGTGAGGGAGAGGAGGAATCCCCAGCCCAAGATGAGCCTAGTGATGATGATGCGCACTTGGGAAGCCCTGATGATGCTTCTGATGCTGGCGAGATGTGTTCGCAGTGTGGCCATGATGATGATGATGAGACCTCTGGGGATGAGGATGTGAATCAAAAGGTTGTATGTCGCGATGATGATGGCTCAGGTGCAGAAACGCTCGTGCTTGGATCGCTGGACCAGGATCCGGTGAACCATGATGGTAGCGATGCTTCTGATCGTGATACACAGCCTGATTCCCCGGATGTGGAAAACCTATGCACACCTGAGAAACCTGAGTATCCATGGCGTGAGGAGTTGTTCCAGTCTCCCATGATGGGACGCGCCCCAGCCCCCTATGACGAGCTTCAAGAGATGTGTGTCGGTTTGTTAGAACATTTTGGGGAGTTCCACCCAGAGATTGCTGCGATACTCATCTTGTGCTTATCCATGTGGTTTTGGAAACGGTTTTCCTTTTTTTGGTTTGTTCTGTGAGCTACAAGTGTGGTTCCATCATGTTCCTTCCAAGGAACGACGGGATTACTCACTACATGGAGCATTGCGAGTGGTCATTCGCTCGCTTCGGGTTGAAAGCTAGCGGTTGGCTGGGCACACAGGAATATTTCCAAGTGTGGGAGGAACGCTGCAGAGTTCTTGGTAACAAGGTGGGGAAAACCAGTGGGGGTTGTTCCACCTATATTTGATATATGTTTCATGGGTTTAAAGGGTTACCCTGTTGTTACTTAGCGAAAGCCCCATTGCTACATTGCCCCAGTGCTACATTGCCCCTTGGCTACATTGCCCCATTGCTACAGGTACTCAGCCCCAGGGACAACTTGATGGTTGAAGAGAGTTGCCCTGCCGCCCGTGCTGCCAAACAGAAGATGATTGAACAGCAGGCCATGTTTTTTAAAAATGAACAGGGTCAAAATGGTTGTTTTCAGCAAATCAAACATCTCAGCATGTTTTCATTATTCAGCGGGTTGGAGCTCAAGGCTGTGCCCAAAAGGTCTCTTAAGGTTACATATCTTGTGCAGCTGTGATGCTGTCAGGGTTGAAACCGTGTATTGTTTTGTTTGAAAATCATGAACCAAATATTCAAAAATATGCGCATCTATACATAGATATCTATCTATCTATCTATCTATCTAGCTAGCTAGCTATCTATCTGTATACTCACGCACGTCCGAACATCTAAATCCATCGAAACATCTGAATCCATGCAGGTCTTGTATTCACATGTAAAAGAAATGCAAAATGAGAATCTTTTACAAATAGATGTATATAAATGTGTGTGTATATGTACATATATATATATTATATATATATATATATAAACATCCACCTCTATATACATTTATCTACATATAGTTTCGGCTGGTGAAAGGTGAAGCCGGATTCGCCCTTGAAGAACCTTTTGCGCAAGAATGCTTTCTGCAAAGAGGACCAGAAGGCTGGTTACACTGGTGAGGCTAGCTGCAGGACCCCTGTTCTTGAAACACCACCGGTTGGTATGAAGTCCCTGGAACGATGTTTGGAAGATGGCTCAACCCCTCCCCCTGTTGGGATCCAAACGGTTCTTTGTCAGCTCTAGCGCACTTTGTCAGTGTTTTTTTTTGTTTTGTGGGGTGTGTCACGAATGTTGATCAAGAAACTTGCATCGTTTTTGGAAGGATTTTGACTAATTTCAAGACCCTTAAGAATGGTTTGAGGGTGGCTCCATTTGCCAAGGCTAATGGGATGAAGCGCAAGCGTGCAGCACTCGCTGATGATGGCTCGGGCAACCCCAAAAAACAATTGAAGGGAGGAGATTTGCCACCAGAGTCGTCTACTCCTGGGTCCAACAAGAATCAGTTCAAGGGTTATGATTTGCTTCAAGTTCCCAAAGAGGCATGGCCCCAACAAAAGGAGAACAAGGGCAAGCATGGCTACACATTGACTGCGGCCAATGGGGCAGTCACTTGTAGTCATGAAGTTAACATGCATGCAATCTACTGGTCCGAGCCCCCCCAATACAGTTTATGGGTTTGTATTACAATACACGGGGTCAAGCACTCCAAATACAGTTTATCGGCTTATATTGAGAATAGCCCCACTGTTCATTCTGCAGCCCCCTTTAGCGCGGTCCTGCAACGGCATCTGAGGCGATCGAATGCCTCCTCAAGAGCAAGGCTTTTGTTGTCAAGCGCTGTGCAGCGGGAGTTCAATGCAGCAAGGGGAAAGGCCAATATAGCTGGTCAAAGTATGGCAACGTTACCAAAGCGTGGGAGGCTTTAAAAGCAGGTGCATCTTGGAAGTAGGTTGAAGCATATGATCTTAGCGAAGTAGATACTCTGCATCCAGTCATGCTAGAGTGGTCGGGTTGAACACTTCTTTGAAATGGAAGTGCATTGCTCATCGGTGCTGGGACCCTCCAGGTTAGGAAGCGGTCAACAATCAACATTGGCATAAAATGATGCAATCCTAATCTCCACTGTTGCCATCTTGAAACTATTTCAGCCGCTGCCTGGTGGAAGTTCCAACATAGGATGGTTTTCATGGAAGCTTGTGATCATGTAGGGATTGAACGACTTTGACCGAACCAGATGCAAAAAAGAGTCCTGACAGCAAAGGAAACCACTGCAAGTCGCCAGTGCCCAGTAGTTGCCAGTTTGCCGATCGTCCCATCCATAATCCTGAGATCGAGGGAAATAAGCCCGGGGAACAGTCACAAGGGATTAGCCCACCGCAGGTGACCTATGTGGAGTTCTACTTTTCCACTACGCTGGAGAGGCTAGATTGACAGTCGATGTTGGTGCATTAACTTATGTTGTGACATTTACTTGTTTGAACCTATTTCCCTTTCAGAATCAGAAATGATTGGAGCTTCTCCCAATCGAATTATGATTTTTAATCTGCACATTCTCTTTCAAATTACTTATTGATCAGCCATCAAACCGATCATGCTAACCTTTGTATCTTCAGTATCTTCTCTATCATACCTAATCTATCTAATCAATCCCAATGTAACCTATTCGAAAATAATCTAATCCAATCTTATCCAATAACCCACTTCAATCCAATCTAACCCACGGGTCTTTGCATACATGTATGTGTGTGCAGTTACGTATGTATGTATCTCTGTCTGACTGTATTTATGTATATATATATATGTGTGTATATTCCCATGACACCACCATGCTTACCTGACCATAGGCTCTGGTGACCACAAGCCGAAGCCGAGAGGACACTGGTTGTATTGGGCCGGAAAAACCATCAAGAAATTTTCAGGTTGGGTGCAACTAGGGGTTTACAAATGCAAAAAGTTCATCGCATGGTGAGGCCGCCAAAAAGTATAGCAGGATGAAACTGGTGTTATATTCACTTTGGGTATGGCTGAAACTGTTGATGTCAAAAACGAGAACCGGGTAATACTGACCCAAATCCATATGGGAAGTCCAGCATTTCACTTTTCTGACAAATAATTTTCGTGGACTACTCTTGTGGGTCACCTATGGCTCACTTCTGCAAGGACCCTGTCTTTTGCAGCGTGCCGGATTTCGTCCAGGCAGCCGAGTGGTATGGATTCAGTTGGATATAACCAAAATTTCCCTTGAATGGGGGTTTCAAAATCAATGGGGGTTCCAAACCTTGCTTAAAACAATATTTTCCTGACTCTGTTTGTTTTTTAAACCCCATGGTCAATTTTGAAACCCCCATTCAAGGGAAAATTGTTTATATTTTGACCACCAATCCTAAAATCAACTCTTCCCCAAAAAATCAAGTGATGGGTCATCAAGCAAGCTTCCCACTGGTAAATTTCCACTTAAGTTAGTTACCAAAAAAAGCCACCCACAAGTCATCGAAGCAAATCATTTTCCCCACATTTTTTGAGGACTTGAAGGGGCCTTTTTTGGGAGGACAAATTCACCTGGGAATTTAGCTATTTAATACTTTCCACATGTGTCTTGGGAACATTTTTGTGAACGATATTGTTTGCAACAGGTACCAAAACGGATGCCCACATGCAATGCCCTTTGAGAGTTCATCAGTTTCCCCAAACATTCAAGTGATGGTTTATCAAGCTTTCCATATTCGTCTTGGGAACGTTTTTGTAATGGACAGTGGTTGCAACAGTTTAGGCATATGATTTGGTCCCAAAACGGATGCCTACATGCAATACCCTTTTGAAGTCCATCACTCCCCATGTCACCAATGTTTGTACCAGAGACTTGCAAGCCATTGCTGCAAGGCCATCGCATTGTCGCCAAGAGCATAGAGGTGCACTTCCAACCGCCATGCCTCCCCAGCAGCTAGCTGCCGTGGTTTGCAAACCGGAGACTGTAATCAGACAACGCTGTATTAAAACCATTTTAAGGTCCCAAAAAGAAATGGACATTTGGTAAGTTGTGGGCCCCACCAAGTTTACCAAAATTGATGTTTTCCATGATTTTTAAGTTCAGTTTTGCATAAAGATGGTGAGGGGCACCGACATCAGTCAAGTTCGGACAGGAATGTGGTCAATCAACCTGAGAGATTGCACTCATACTGACAGTAATTTTCATAGTGGTTTCAAACAAACTTTTTCCAATGCAGAACCGAACACATTGGAAACTCTAGAAAGGGTACACTACTTTCGGCCTTCTTGCAAAAACTCACAAAAGCTAAATGGTTTGTGTTGTGCCCAGTGTGAGCACAATGTGTTGTCACATGACTTCTAATTGCATGCAATGTCAGCCGTTATACCTCAATCATACAGGGGTAGATCGCTTTTTTCCCACCATTGGTTTGTGGAGCATGGGTAAGGGGTCAGAGTTTGCCAGGAAATCCCGTAGCCGGATGCCATACAGTGCAAGCAGCAGGGGAGAGAAAGTTCCTACTTCGTGGAAGATGAAGCAGCGGAGCTACACAATGGCCGGCCTGAGAAAGCTTGGTGCTCCATGGGTGGCCCGGCTGTCCCAATCCTCAGCTCCCACCGTTGAACGAGACATGGGTTTACAAAATGCTGGATTCCAATATCAGGTTTTTGAAACCAAAAGGGAGTTCTTGACCCATTCTTTCAAAAAATCATGGATGTTTCTAAGAACAAATGATGTTGATCCGGTACCACAACATGAAAGTATCAAGAGATACCAAGAGCATAGCAATTATCTTGTTGGCTTTCGATCCACAAAACCGATAACATACCAAGCCTGGACCCTTCAAACATGTATATACATTTTTGGGGGGCCCAAGATTGAAGACCCACTTGATGAAACGTGCTTAGATGACATGAAGGGAAGAGCATTCTGATTTGTTTAACTCACCATGATGGTGGTGGCATATCAACAGGAAAATGACAACCAGATCCATCTTTGTGTAACTGAAAAACAATATGCAGAACTTAGTGGAAGATCCCCTGTATCATTGAGCGACTTTGAGGTCATATTGGCACTTTGCAGTGCGGTGCTTTCATGCCCCGGCTTGCAGTGGAACCGTCCAATTGACAGCTTGGAGCTCTTTGCTGGTGAGTGTTCTATCAGCAGCGGAGAGTTCCGGGACTGGGTTGGGGAAAAGTTGGGAGAGAATTACAAGTAGATGTCCAGGGATCAAGTATTCAATATTTTGGCACTTCTCTGATCAATCCTGTGTGACAGTTTGTGTCTGACTGTGGCAAGTCTTGCAAATCTCCCATGCAGGAGAGGCGTGAAGCTTTGGCCATGGATATCAACTTTGGCCCTTCCAATGATATCATGACTGATGCCGGATTTGCCAACACAGTCTTCCAGATTCTCAACACCAAACCGGCCGGAGCCCTATGGGCAGCGCCAGTGTGTTCAACGTGGGTGTACCTGCGCATTGGCTAAAACAAGTAGTTATTTATGTTTTTGCTGGTAATGGTTTTGACTTACACGTTTGTTTCTAAGCGGGAAATCTTACACGTTGTTTTGAAAAACAAGTAAGGAGTCGCGGCAGCACAGGTCGAAGTGCCAGTAAGCCTATGGGGTTCAATACTGGCCTCACCCTTCAGCACAACATCATGGTGGCCCGTGTTTGTGTGATACTTTGCATAGCTGTAGCAAAGCAGATTTGGTGGTGCTTGGAGCAGCCCAAAGGATCACTTCTTGAGGGACATATTTTGTTCCAAAAAGTCCTTGCCATGCGGCATGTGAATGTGTACCGGACATGCTGCAGCCTTGGGCATTTTGGGGCAGACTCCTTGAAACCAGTGTGGATCTACAGCAGCAACTCTCCTAACAGAAAGACAGATCTAGTTTTGCAGTGCCCCAATAAAAAAATCAGTGGGTTTGAAAGGGATTTAATTGTTGGGTAAAATGTATCTACGGGAGGAATGATAGATTTTAGTGAGCCATATCCAGTGCATCTTAGGTGATACCCGTGCCACGGAGTTCAATGAGTTTGCCGATCGTTCTCTTCGACCATCGAACCCGAACATGGTGAGGCACTACCAGGATGGCAGCGGAAAGGCCAGAGTCACGGGTGGCACTGCTTTGAAAAGTTCTCAGGCTTATCCGGTGAAGCTGCTAGGCCCTAGATTCATCTAGAACCATTTGATGTCTGATATTGTTCCAAAGAGAGGAACTGTTGATCAGGGAAGTGCCAAAGAATGAGCTAGACCTTTATAGCCCCAAAATGGATGATCTGTGAAAGTCAATTTGGAGATCACCCCCAAATATCTCAACCTTCGATCATATGTATCTATCAATCTGTGTCACTATCTGTTTTGAACCTTTGATTTATCTATTTTATCTTACTGGTTTTATTCATCTATCTGTCGATTTATCTATGGACCTACCTATCAATTTAGCTATGAATATCCCAGGGTCAAGAAAAGGGCTTGGAACCACCATTAATTTAGAAACCACCATTCAAGGGAAAATTCTATCTATCTATCTATCTATCCATCCACCCATCTATCCATCGATCGATCTATGTACCTATCTATCTTTCTATCAATCCAGAATCTATGCATCCATCTACTTACCTACCTACCTACCTATTTATCTATCTATCCACCTATCTACCTATCTATCAATCTATCGATTTATCCCTCCATCCATCCATCTATGTATCAATCTTGCTTAAGATTATTCCCAAACCAGTCAGATCTGCCACGCCAAGGTTCGGCAGAGCTGTAGCCAGGGTTCGCTCCAGGCACCTGAAGAGGCAGCGAAAGGCTGCAGCATCGTTCATCCGGAAAGCATTGAAGGGGGATGACCGGCTGGATATGACAAAGAAATCCAACCAACTTTGGATGGAAATGGCCAACTTGAAACCCATTTTCCAATTTCTGTCAAAACAATGATCTACAACTGTGGATCATGAAATGCTTTCAAGATGTGGTGTGCCCACATCGAAATTAAATCATCTTAGATGCTATGTGCAGATTGCGGGGTGGGGAGCGCTGAACAAAAGTGTGACTGTGGTATGCCTCACCCAAATACGTTTTTTTCCTTTCAAAAGCTGGATGGCTGAAGGGTCCTCCACCCATTTATGGAAAGTTTCAATCGACCACCAATCAACTCTATAAGTTTAATAGACTGATTTCGGAGAATATGTGTATATGTATATGTATGTGTACATGTGTATATATGTATATGTTATATGTTATATATATATATATGTACATGCCTATGTCCCCACTAGAATCCAAATCTTCCAACCCAAAAGCCTCAACCCCACGCAGGTGAGTGGATGGGGCGAGTTGTTTTGAAAAGAGCCTGTGCCTTTGCAGGCCAGGTCTTGCGCTTTTGGGATGTGCAGGCAAGGGTTTGGTGTGCAAACCACGGCCCAAGAAACCCAAGGAACGGGAGGGAAAGAAGGCATCAAGATTTTCACACGGTGTGTACTTTTTTTAAAAAAAAACATGCTAACCCTTCAATTTCACTCGTGCGATGTGTAGCGACACTCATGCGATTGGTAGCGAACTCATGCGACCTGTATTTCCACCATTCAAACACACTTTCTGTGGTCGTTCAATCCAACACGTGCTTCTGCCTGTAGAGCATTTTGCTCAGTGGCTCAACGGTTTCTCTGTGTGGCCTCACTTGGGGCCTGGGGCAAGCCCCAATGGCCAAGACAAAGGCTGGTCCAGAGCGCAAATCAGCTTTGAGAAAGCAGGACAAAGGGGAGAAGGGAAAAGCAGCAAAGGCAAAAGATAAGAATGCAGACCGGAAGGCAAAGAAGATTAGTCTCATTGCTGCGCCAGCAAAAGTTGCGAGCAAGGCTCCCCAGAGACCAGGACCATGTGCCAAAGACAAAGTGAAGCAGCTTGCAGCTTAGGTTGCTTCCAAGGGCAAAGTCGGTGGAGCTTCGCAGAGGCTTGAGAAAAAGGATCCCAGAAAGGTGTCAGACATCAACAAGAAGAAGAAGACCAAGGATCACAAGAAAGAAAGCAGGAAGGACTCTAAGGAGCAAAGGGAGAAGAAGAAACGGCTTCAAGAGGAGCTGACAAAGACTAGTGTGCCCCAGCCAGCTACCCCTCCAACCAAAAGGTATCGGATGAAGTCGCCGGCAGCGAGCAGCGTTGCCAGTGGCAACTTGACTGATGCTAGCTCTTCTCACTATGGAGGGAAAAGGGAGAAGGCAGAGGCGCATCTCAAGAGAGTTCAGGGCATGCTTGATGATGTCATGAAGGAAGCGGAGGATGCAGCTGAAATGGATGCAGCTGGACTGTTGGAGTTCTATGAAGAGCTGAAACAGGAACACGGAAAGGCTGCAGAAGAGAAGACACAGGGCACAGACCAGAAGAAGAAGGAGTTGAAGAAAGATAAGGAGAAGAAGGAGAAGGATAAGAAGGATAAGAAGGAGAAGAAAGATCAGGAGAAGGACCACAATAAGGAGCAGAAGGATGAGAAGGAGAAGCACAGTAAGGAGAAGAAAAGCAAAGAGAAGGAGGAGAAGGAGGAGGAGCAAAGGAAGAAGGATGAGGAGCAAAGGAAGAAGGATGAGGAGCAAGCGAAGAAGGATGAGGAGCAAGCGAAGAAGGATGAGAAGCAAGCGAAGAAGGATGAGGAGCAAGCGAAGAAGGATGAGGAGCAAGCCAAGAAGGATGAGGTCAAGAAGGATGAGAATGAAGGAACGGATATGGAGGAGTCGGAAGATGAAGATGAGCAGGAGGACATGGGTGATGATGAGGAGGAAGACGAAGAAGAGGAAGGTGACTCTGAAGAAGACGATGAAGATAAGAGCTCTGAAGATGAGGATGACGAAGAGGATCAGGAGATGGAGGAAGCCCCAAGTTCCCAGTCCAGTGATGATGAAGACAGTTTGTGGGAGGATGTTCGAGGCAGCACTGATGAGCAGAGTTCAGAAGATGATGAGACAGAAGACAAGGAGAAGCCAGAAGGCAAGGAGCGAGAAAGCAAGGAGCCAGAAAGCAAGGAGCTGCAGAAGGCAACTGAAGAGTCAGTGCGAAACAGCAACTTGTACAAGCATCAGGGTGGGTGGGGTAGCAGGGCATGTATATTGCATTCCTTTGAAAGCTTGCTCCAGAAATCAAACACCGTTGAAGCCGGCCATTGTGATCCAAGAATCTGACATGAATCTGGCATCATCAAAAATGAAAAGTTGTCATACATGCATGCTAAGCATATAAACCAACATATTTACTGTAGATCCACGAATCCATGCAGAGCCCATGCATGCACACATGCATTCAGGTATGTACGCATACCCAATGTTACCAATCTTGCTGAGGTAAGATGCACAAGAAAGAGTGGGACAAGATGGATCGCCAGATCAAGTCTGGCCAATTCCCAACAAGCCTTCAGCCAATGTTGAGACGAAAGAAGACTGACCTTTTTGGGATGTGGTTGGACTTTAACCTTGACTGGGACAAGGTGGTGTGTGAGGTGGAGCGCTTGTCCCAAACAAAGAATCTAGCGAGAAAAGAGTGGGTTGCAGTCCAGGCCAAAGTTTTGAAGTCCCAAATGGATGAAGACAAATTCAATGACTTGATTCGCAAGCGAACCGAAGCTGGTCTCTACTATACCGATGATGACTGGCCATCGGATCCTATGGAGAAGGGTTCTGAAAAATGTGAAATCAGTTCTCTAATGTTCTTTATTATTTTCTGATCGGTGGTATCCCCAACAATAGATTCGAATCGGTGGAAGATATTCATTGCAATGTTCAACACATCTAAGTAATAGTTACTTCTTAGCATCTTCCTGCCAGCTCAATTCCAGGAGACGTGGTACTATATGCCCCAGGGACGACTTCTTCGACAAGATGATGTGACGGCAGACACTTTGAAAGCCACCGCAACAAAAAAGCTTGACAAGGACATGTTCTCTGCCCTCACTGGTGAGAATGGCCCCCTTCCCACCGGAGCTTTGCCTTCGGTGAAGGCTGCAACAGAGCAGGGCCAGAAAGCAGTGTTGGCAGCCTTAGATGATGAGAGCAAAACTGTGCAGAAGGCAAAAAAGCAAACTCGCAAGGCCGAAGACAAAGAGCCAGAAAAGGTGACTCCGAAAACACCTCTTGAGTGGGGGATCTCAGAACATCCATCCAGTGTTTGAAACATCCATCAAGAGTCAAGAAAATGTTGGTCCATCATGCGTCAAGAAATGTTCACAACATCCATCAACTGCCAGTTGAGATCATCTACAAAGTTTCAGAGAAACAATCAACTGTCAGTGAAATATGCATTTTACACCCTTAGCATGCACTTCAACCCATTTTGTTCACGACTTAGCAGGCCAAGCATGTCATGATTTTCATGGATCAAATATGTTTCATAATTTCTCTAGATATTTTTCGAAAGAATGACTGAAATACATTTCAAGAGAATCCATGTTCGGATCGAACCCCTTTCCAGATACGGTCTCCGTGCTCTCAATCTCCCAGAATTTATTTGCCACCAACTAGATATCGTTCAACAGAATCCATGAAATACCTCTGAACCTTGCAGTTCCCACCTCTCCAAATTAGGTTTGCATGTTCTCAATCTCCTACATCTCATTTGCAGCCAATACTAGACATCATTGGAAAGAATCCACAACATGTCACAACATATTTCTCAAAAGACTCCATGTTTGAACCCTGCAGTTCCCAACTTTCCTTGATTCTAATTTCCAAGGGTCAATTCTCCAAGATTCGGTCTCTATGTTCTCGATCTGCTTATGCCACCAAATTGTCCACGGCGCCCAGGGAAGCCAAAGAGCAGCTGGCAGCGATCCTTGACGAGGCGACAAAGGCAAGGTCAAAGAGCATCCAGCTTAAGGGGGTGGAGTTCGCTGATCAACTTTCTGGTGAACTTGCCAAGCATGGAAAATCTATGGAAGACATGTACTCCCGGTTGAGCTCGGAAGTTCATTCAACTTCCCCTGATGAGTCCAAGATCGTTGGGATTTTGAAACAAGTGGGAAATGCCCAGGCATGGTACAAAAAGGCTGAGGCAGGGTGTTGACAAAAAATACAATCCCAAAAAAAGAAGTTGTACCATGTCCTATGCAATCACCATTTTATTGATATCCGAATATTTATTTGATTTGTTTTAAGTGTCAGCCATGTTATTCAAAGAGTGTTGGAATATACGTTGCCCTCTCCTTCCATTGACATGGGGTGATCCCTCAGGCATCGGCTTCTGGTATCTTGAAGGGAGCCGGATCAGGAAAACAGAAAAAGGGGAAGGCCAAAGCAAAGGCCAAAGCTGCTACGTAGATGTGTGGCCGAGCGGGGTCTCTGAACATAGGTGCTTCTTGGGGGGTTGCAATGCTTGAAACAGCATGCTTTTTTTGACAGAGCATAGTTCAGAACCACAGGCGAAATCGAAGTGGCGTGAAAAAGTGAACTGTGCAGTCTGATTGAATGAATGGATTTGGGTGGGACCCCGACTTGAGGTGAAAAAAGTAACAGCTAGATCTAATTTGAAAAATGGAAGAGTCTACTTTGACCCATTCCCTCTTCATCACACACTTTTGACCATCCCATGACCTTAATCCCTGCCACTTGGCCAGGCAACCAAACGAGAGCTAAAAGGTGCAAACGGGAATCGATTGCTTCGAACCAAAGTGCTGTTCTAGACAAACTTCTGGAACTGGTGGGAAAAGGCGATGCCCATGTTCAAATCGCAGCTGATTTTGCAAGGGCTGTTGTTGAGGATTGTCCGAATGCAGCTCATCCCGGAATACATCACATAGCTGCATGTGGTGCAAATGGAAAGTTTGATGGCAACACGGAAAGGGATTTCCAACGCCTAGTTCGAGGGTTTAACGGGCTCTCCTTGGAACCGTATACCATCAAGTTGAGATTGCAGGTGTTAAGCTGTTATTTCGGCAAGTTTTGGTTTCATGGTGGTTTGAATTTTGACCCAAAAAGTTTTCCTTCCACACCAGCCCCATCTTCCATTTCCGAGATTCGCAATGTGACCAAGCCCAGGTGGAGAAAGACGAGGATCCTCAGACAGTCGAAGCAAGCGTCTTGTTACCCCACGAGGTCTTTGGTGCTTTGTACCGTATGGGTGAACCCAAGGCCAGGATTGTGTCAAAACAGTCTAAACCACCACAAAAGTTAAAAAGTTGAAGCCAACCAAGATCATCTTTGAATTTGGCTTACCTTGTCAAGGATTGTGTCAAAACAGTCTAAACCACCACAAAAGTTAAAAAGTTGAAGCCAACCAAGATCATCTTTGAATTTGGCTTACCTTGTCAGTTTCGGTCTATGATGTGTGCCAACCATGACGGCGGCTCCATATCAGCATTCTGGCGCCATCTCAAGACTTTGGGGGATTACAAACACCACACCGTACTGCACAATTTATCAGATGAGGAAATGACCAGAGCGATTCCTTTTGCTATTCATGGAGACGGTGCTGAGTTCCACAATAACAATGAATACTTTGTCATGAGCTGGACTAGTGCCTTCCAACCTGGTGGGGGTAGCAATTGCCTGGTCAGCCGGTATCCGATCTCAATTGTTGCAGAAGCTCAAATGGTCGATGATGATGATCTTTGGGGTCAAGTTTAAAGCAGAGGCAAAAGTGCCAATCACCTGTTTAGAGTTTCCCCAAGAAACAAGTTAGGAAACAATATGTCGTATTTTTGCCCCTGCTGACAGCAACTTTTTTTGTGGGGGTTTGATTTCTGAAACTGGCTTTATCATGTTTATACATGAAACTGTTTGCCGCTTGTGTTCCCCAATGCCATTGCCTATTGGGACTGTTGAAATACATGTATTGGACCAATGGAAAAAGCATTTTAAATTTGGATCTGAATTATATATAGGATACCTGTCAGCCCTATAGTGCATCGATCCAAGGGGTTTGGGCCTGCTGATCCCATCATAAGGTACGAGAAGAGGTGAACAAAACACTTGCTGATCTGGTGGCATGGAGCCTCCACCATGCATCTTTAGGTGTATACCCCAGGACAGGGTTCTATGGTGAGCAGTTCGACAAGAATTCTTTTCGGCACAGTCTTTCTGGTAAACCAATTGCAAACGGTTTCAAGCTACTTGGAATGATTTGCGCACCAAATTTTCAGAAATCCTCTTCGGCCAATACCCCATAAAAACATAGTTGACTTTTTGGATTATGAACATATAAATATATAAATATGTCGGGAGCGTAAGTTCGATCCTCATGTTTTTGTGTCGTTAAGGCTGGTTTACATGGCCTTCAAAGCAGATCTCAAAGCGAGAATGCAATGCCACCTGTTGGAAAATTACTATCGTTGCAAGAGATGCTGTGACAGGTGTTCAGCGATTCAACCAATGGATTCGAACCCGAACAGAATGACCTACAAGAACACTGCCAAAAATGCACCCTATGCACCGACTTGCAAGGATCATGATGAATACATCAGGACTGCCAGGAGGCCATCACCATGGTGTGCTGTTGAGGGTTTCCAGTTCGAAACGATAAGCTTTGACATGATGCACTTGGTTTATTTGGGAATAGCAAAGAAACATGTTCCATCGTGCCTTAAGCTTCTCAAGTTGTTTGGTTTCCACTACGAGCCTGGGGAGTCCGATGCAAAGTTCCTCAAGAGAGTTAGCATGGAGATGAAACAGGACTGCAAAGAAAGGAAGTGCCTCAGTTTCATACCGGTAGGTCTCTTCAATCTTGATCCAGGTATATTTCATACTGGTAGTTCTCTTTAATCTTGATCCAATCATTTTCATATCGATAGTTTCTTTGGAATCATGATCCAGTCAAATTTCATACCAGTAGTTCTCCCCAATCTTGATCCAATCATTTTTATATCGATAGTTTCTTGTGAGTCTTGATCCAATCGTTTTCATACTGATAATGTTTTCAATTTTGACCCCATCAAGTAATTAAAATGATGGTATTGATCAACCCAGGCTTTACCTTCCACGAAGGGTTTTAAGCATGTCGAACTGTGGAACGTTTGGAACGGAAGACTACTGTGAGCTTGGTTCCCGATTTAAAGCAGCACACATCAGATTGATGGTCTGGTGGGTTGCCAAGAAGGTACAAGAGCTTACTGCAAATTCCGATTCTTGAGGTAGAGGTTTGGTACAACCTTTTTTGTTTCAGGGACTTGTGAAAGAAGGGGAACCCAAAAGCAACCACCCAAACCGGGATTCCGAAGCATGCCGAGTCTCAGGATGACCCCACGCTCCAGCTTCTTGCAGCTTGCAGCTACTCCTTGGCGAAGGCCCAAGAGGCTATGGATTCTGCTGGCTTGATCTTGACCCCAGCCGAAGCAGCCGTTGCATGTCTAAAGTGTAGATCATATTCGTTCTTACTGGTGGGAGCCCAGGGTAAAAAAAATCATAGAAAACCACAATCTATGAATGGATGGGTCCAGGGGTTTCCCAAGACCAGGTCAAAATGGTAACCCCAAGGTACTACATGGGAACTCTATCATCTAGGTTGACAAATTTAAATGGAAACTTTATCAATCTGTTTTTTTGGTCCCATGATGATCACATGGAAAAATCGTGAATGTGCACCCTATCAATCCGGCGTATATGACCCCAGGAAAATCCCAGGGAAAATTCTAACCCCAAGACGCTTTATGGGATTTTTTCAATCCGGTGTATTTGCATTCAATCACATATCATCAACAGAGGGTGTTCTCCAAAGTAGAGATGATGCCAGGTAAGGGTTGAAACCTGTGATATGGAAACTTTATCAATCTGGAGTATGTGAGTTCAGGGTAAACCGCATTTTAAGTGATGATCCAAAGTAAAGGTGGTAATCCAAAGTAGTAGATGGGAACTTTATCAATCTAGGGTATGTTCGTTTTTAGAGTAAACCACATTTCATCTGATGATCCAAGGTAAAGGTGGTACTCCAAAGTAATAGATGGGAACTTTATCCATCTGGTATGTTTGTGCAGCTCAGGAGATTTCGAACCTGCTGCATGTTCACCTTCGCTCAACAGAGCTCCTAGCGTCCTACTGCTGGGAGCGGAACATCATGGCTTTCAAGATGCGCCCCAAACATCATTATGTTTGGCACGTCGCCAGGGATGTTTTGGTTTCAAGGATCAATCCAAGAATGTTTCATGTTTGGTCCGATGAAAAGTTTTTAGGATGCCTCAAAAAAATAGCTTGCAGGTGTCACGGAAGCACAGTCCAAAAAAGGGCAATCGAGAGATATCTCATTGCCTTGTCTTCACACTTGGCCAAAATGGCTAGCTAGGGTTACAGTAGTGGGTACCATCTCACCCCTTTTCTGGGAGTGCTAGCCCCCCAGTAGTTACATCAAATTATTTCATCTACTGTTCTCGGGAAAATGGGTCCCCCAAGCTACCGGAAACTTCATTGGTCGTTACATCAAACTGTTTTCAATTGCTGTCCCACAAAAATATGTGAGATGCTTGCAATGGGAAAAAAAACATATTGGAAAAAGGCCCACCAAAACATGTAAAGTAAAGCCAACAGTGAAAAGGGGAATCAGCTGGCACCATGGGGTTTGCTGCGGGGCTCATGCAGCCATGACTCTTGGCGACGTCCAGCACCGGAGAAAAAGCAGAGGCATGCCAGTGCCATTGGCGACACGGGCAAGAGGTTGCGCGTTGGATAGGTTGATCTATGTTTGTCCCTTGATATCTAATATATATCTATATATATATTATATCTAAAATATTTTGATAATATATTTATAATATATCTAAAATATATCTATAATATATCTATTATACATCTAAGAGATATCTATAATATATCATACCTATTATATATCTACAATACCTTTAAAATATTTACAATATAGATATAATATATCTCTAAAATAGGTTTTCAATGAATCTATAACATATGCATGCATGTCCGCATGCGTGACCGAGTCAAGTATTTTCGAGACAACGTGGCTCCAACGCAACCCATCAGGCAACCAGCCCTTTCAGCAGCCCAAACTCCTCCTGGGTTTTCTGGGTGTTCTTCATTTTCGATGGTGTTTTGACCATGTGCCAAAAAAAATGGTATCCCATTCTCACATAATTCTCACACCAAAGGCATGTTGCCCCCTCCATCTTGCTTTAAATACTATGTGTAGCATGCGCCGCCCAAGAAGATTTCTTCATCCTATACCGTGGCAATTTTCATGGGTCATTAAATGTCCCCATTGAACATCACCCAACCATTAGGTATATGGTCTATAATGGCTACTATAAGGTGATGTCCAATATACCCAAAATGGGACAGTTACCAACCCCTGATTTTCATTTTGCTTGGGGCAAGTAGATACCTACCCCAGGATTATCCACCAACTATAGGGGATTGGGCAGCTGAGAAGCCACAAAAAGATGGGATCTGGCAGTTTCCGATGCCTTCATTTTGGGAAAACACCCCAACTACTTGATGTATGTATGTATGTATGTATGTATGTATGTATGTATGTATGTATGTATGTGGGTGATTTTGGGCTGTTCAGGATTGTGAACCGTGGAGCAAATATTCCCACTCCAAACTATACACGTATTTGAAATTTCATTTGCCAACTCAACGGGTTTGATTCAGTATGTGCAGTGTTGTATATCTCACCTTCTTGGGGCTTAGGATGTATCATTTCAGTTCTGTTGGTTGCTCAGTGTGTAGGCTAACCCCAAAAGATCTGAATTTATGTTGTTTTTTAACATTCCTTTAGCATATCTATTTTATCTACAAGGACAAATGGGACTAGCTATCGCAGGTTCAATCTTGAACTGAGCACTCTGCCGACTCAGTTTGGGAATGGAAAATTCATGGATAAACGGTATCGATGGAAATCTGGATTTCGAATGAGAAACCCAAAAAAATTCAAACGCTTCTAATCTACATACATACATGCATACATGCATGCATACATACATACACACATACACCCAAATCAATCAAACCCAAACAAACCAACGAAGAAACCAACAAACAAACCAGCCCCAACAAACAAGCCCAAACAAACACAAACAACAACCCACAAACAAACAAACAAACAAACAAACAAACAAACAAACAAACACACAAACACACAAGCACACAAACACAAGCACAAGCACACACACAAACCAACAAACAACCACAACGAGCAAACCAAAGAACAAACCAAACCAAAGCAAAGCAAAGCAAACCATGAACCAATCAAGCAACCAACCAAGCAAACATACTTACATTACATACATGCAGACACATGCATACATACATGCATACATACATACGTACGTACATACATACATGCATGCATGCATACATACCCGCACACACACACATGCAGCCAGGAAGACACAAACAGATAGACTTAGGTAGGGCAGATAGACAGGAAGAGAAAGAGAGAGAGAGAGAGAGAGAGAGAGAGAGAGAAAGAGATAGACAGAGATAGATAAAGAGAGAGAGAGAGAGGGGGAGAGAGAGAGAGAGAGGGACAGACATAGAGAGGTAGAGATCCATAAACAGAAAGACAGACAGATAGACAGGCAGATAGAGAGGTTAGGCATGTAAATATATACATACATAAATATATACATATGCATGTCTATCTCTTTTTTGGCCCAAGAAAAGCGTGCAGGAGTTGCAGTTTGCTTTGTGGGGCACTAAGGTTTGGCAAGCCAAGCCATGACTATGCTAGATTTTGGCAATTGCCAAAGTGCTGCTTTGATACACTTTTTTTTTTGGTCGCTTTTGTTGGCGTCGGCGGTGTCGTCGTCATCTCGGCGGTGTCGTGATAAACCCTAAATCTCGCCGGTGTCGTGATAAACCCTATAAATCTCGCCAGTGTCGTGATAAACCCTAAATCTCGCCGGTGTCGTGATAAACCCTAAATCTCGCCGGTGTCGTGATAAACCCTAAATCTCGCCGGTGTCGTGATATATTTTTTCCTTAAAGAACCAGCCATTGCAATTCTATGTTGTGCCATATATGGAATTGGAATGGCTGCTTGACGCAAAATTGTATAAAAACTGCTTTGTTCGCTTTTGGTGGTGTCGGCGGTGTCGTCTGGATCTCAGCGGTGTCGTGATAAACCCTAAATCTCGCCAGTGTCGTGATAAACCCTAAATCTCGGCAGTGTCATGATAAATGCATATATGCTTTGATGCCATATGCACGAGAAGTATATATCCTCACGACATTGTCCGATCCTCACGACAACGGCTTGTGTCTCCTGTTGGAACTCTTGTCCTTTGTGCAACGGTGGATCCTCTGAGCACGAGGTCAACGTTGTGTCTGACCAGAGGAAAGCAAATAGCAGCCACCCGGCGCTTGCAGGTGAAAGACCGGCTGATGCTGGAGAATCCCTCTATGGACCCACCGTGGTGACGTCGGTCAACTCGGCTTGCTGAAGGTCCAACCAAGCTGTTGCAACAGCAAGTGCCTGCCTCACTTCTTGGACACCATCGGGGTGAGGGGGGAGCTGCAACTCAAACGACTCAACGAACGCTGCTGGAAGCAACTGAAGATTTGCTTGCAAGAGCAGCGGCGGCGGGTCATCATCCATGCACATCCAGGCATTGCAGGTGGCGCGCAAGGAGTCTTCAGGCCACTGCAGCAAAGTTGCCTCTTGCAGTGGGGTCAAAGTCCGCGAGGTTGGCTTCGCGGACGTTGCCGCAGGCTCTTTCGTGAGATCAATCACCGAAGCCGAGGCAGCAGAACGAAAAGCTGTGCGAATGTCGCGCGAGCCTTGGGAAGCACCAGCGAGCATCGCGCGCCGGGTGGGCATCGCTGCAACACAGAGTGAAATAGACGTGGTGCTGCTAGGATCCAAGCACTGCAAGACAAGCCAATGCAAATGAGCATGGGCTATGGAAACTGAAGACATTACCAGTAGATGCAGCCAGTCGCAACATGCTGTCCGTGGAAGCGTCCATGTTTTGGCATACGGCAACACGTGCCTCACAGTGATTCCAGACCGCGGCATCCAGCCCGTACCTGGCAGTGGCAAGCGACGGAAACGTAATGTGTGGTTTTGTTGTGGCATGCTAGATTATATATAGATTAGAGACCTAGTGATATTCGGGAGCTGGACGAACGCATCCGGCGGCGCAACAGGAATGATGGACACAAAGAGCAAGTGACTGAGGGAACAGAGACATGTTGGAGATGCATTCGAACTCAAGACAGACCAGAAATTGCTAGGTGCAGCTCATTGCTAGGTACTACGCGCTGCCTGGAAATGCAACCCAAGAGAAGCCAATGCAAAGTTTCTGTTGCAAGTCTGCCATGGAAACGGAAGACATCAGCAGCAGAGGGCCAACAATTGGTGGCAGTCTCGCGGCGCACGCCTCCGCACTTCTCCAGGCCCAAGAGTCCGGTAGCAACCTGGCAATCCGAGACAAGCCAATGCAAACGAGCTGTTACAGATGTGCTGTGGAAACTGAAGACATTACCAGTAGATGCATCCAGTTGCAACATGCCGGCCCAGAACAACCCATGTTTCTGCATACGGCAGCACGTGCCTGACCGTGATTCCAGACCGCGACATCCGGTCCGGACCTGACAGCGGCAAGCGAGGGAAACGTCATGTGTGCTTTCGTGGTGGGATGCGGAATGGACTGGACACCTGGAGCATACTCTGGACATGTTAAAGGCGCAGCCGGCAAGTGATTTCAGACCGCAGACGGCGGCGAGCACCGAAAGCAGAAACAGCAACTGCAGGCAGATCGTCAGGAACAACAGCAGCAGGAACGACAATAACACAGTGGGTGGGTTGTATCATCCACCTTCGTGGCGTGGTCACAGCAGCGGACAACGGCAAGCAGCGAAAGCAGACATCGCACCAGCAGCACCTTTGCAGGCAAACCATCGGAGCGCCGAGGATTGCCGAGCCAGCCAGGGCGACCCGACCGACAGCGACGCACCAGGGAACCCAACCAGGAAGCCAGGCGCAGGTGGAGGAAACACATGGCAACAGAAGCAACAGCCGCAGCAACAGCGGCAGCAACAAGAACAACAGCAACAACAATGTGTAAGTGGGCCGTATCATCCACCTTTGTGGCGTTGTCATGGCCGCGGGCGGCGGCAACCACCACGCCCACTTGATGGTCCAAACATACTCACAGAAGCTTTTCGCGGGAACATCCGGAAAGGGAGCAGCAGCAGCAATGCAAGGCGCGGATCCCAGCGGCAAGAACTCCAGAAGATGGAGGAGGAGGACCGAAAACGGCAGCTCAGTGAAGTGCATGGGCATGAATCAGCGACACGCAAAGGCGGCGAGAGCGACAGGATGGCTGCGAACAACAGACGGCTGCGGCAGGAGCAACCGTGGCGATGGGCACAAATTGCAAACGGCTGAGGCAACAGCCACACGTTGGATATGCAATGGCATCAAAGACATACACGGCTGCGGGAGGAGCAACGTGGCGATGGGAAGAAATGACAAACAGCTGAGGAAACAGGGACACGTTGGATATGCAATGGCATCAGGGACATACCAGACATTGCTACGTGCTGTTCACGGCAAACGACTAGCCGAAACAATCGAATGCGAAGAATCTGTTGCAGCTCTGCTGCGGCGCGCCTCACAGCTCCGCGTGGTTGTCCAAACAGCGGCAGATACCTGACGATAAGAAGCAGTGAAACGCAATGAAGGGAGAAGCGAGGCAGCGCTGAGGAACGTTTTCGTTTTCGTGTGGACCAAGAGCAGCCGCAACAGCCGCAGCAACAACAACAGCAACAGCAGCAACAACAAGAAATAACAGTGGGTGGGCCAT